TCAGGTCTCGGTAGACCCATCGCCACGGCGCCATCAATGGCAGCCTCCAGCATGAGAGAGAAAAAGGCGGGGCCGGATGCACAGAGCGCAGTAGAGGCGTTCATCTTGGTCGCAGGCAAGTAAACCACGTCTCCGATGCGCTTGAAGATCCAGGTGACGAGGCTCAAGGTCGCGGGCTGCAGCGGGGGCTCGCTGTTCGCAATGACGGTCATGCTCTCCCGTACGATGCTGGTGGTGTTGGGACACGCGCGCACAATGCGGCAGCGGCCGTCGATATCGGGGTCTTTGACGGGGACAGCTCCGTGAAGGATGATCTCGATCTGCTGGACGGTCACGCCGGCGCAGATGCTAATGAGGAGCTTTCCGTGTAGGGCCTTACCCATGCCGGGCTCGTTCAGCAACGCCTCGATGGCGTTCGGCTTGCAGGCGAGCAGGATCACCTCGGCCTTCATCGCCGCGGGCACGTTCTCGTTCTGCACTACCTTCACGGTGGCGCTGTGCTCCCACAACGCTTGCTTCACTCGCTTGGCGGACTCAGGGCGACGCACGCAGGCGATGAAGCGTGAGGGCAGACGCGCAGGGACCTCGTCGCGTGACCCCGTGTTGCACGTTTGCAACGGTCGAGGTCCGTTCATCTCCTGTAGCGACGCGAGGATGCCCGAGAGAATGGCGATGCCCATGGTACCTGTGACGAGTCAGTTCCACGTGCACCAGAGCTTGATGGCCAATCCTACGATAAGATGAGACTTACCGCAGCCCAACACAGCCATCGTGAGCTCCGGCACATCGTGGCCGTGTTGCGTGATAGCTAACATGCTGTTGGACGGCATTTACTACCGAGTACTACGGAGCGAAGCCTGGGCTTGGTGACGTGAGGGAGCTAGAAACGCAAACAAAGAAGAAAACCAGTGCTGCTAAGCAGACACCTTCTCGCCGGAGAGGTTGTGCAGTTTAAGAAGAAACAAGAAAAACAATGTTAAAATGGAAGATCGTCTAGTAATAACTGGCCTCCCTGGGAAAAGGGGACGAATTTATATGAAAGTACTTGGGCATGAGTGGCCAATCGCGTCGGAGTGATTTTCACCACCGGCGCAAGTTAGGACACCCCTAATCCATTACCTAAGTTTTCCACTTATTGTAAGCTGTGTACATGATCAGTACGGATCACTCCATGAGTCCCTAGGTACTTATAGTACACCGAAGATCTCTCGTTTACTCTGATCGAAAGATGGGGAGGTAGGCTTGCCGACTACGTATATCGTAGGGATGAAGATGTACTTTGCATGTTCCCCGTCAGGAACTTTGGGCAGATAGGGGGATCGTACCTTATAGGGCAACGACCCGAGATCGCACCGGCTCGGAATCGAAGCAGGGCGTCAGCTACGAACTGTACGTCTATCTAGGCTAGATAGATAGCGCTCGTGTGACCTGTGGTTCGGGAAAGCTTGGTGCCCAATGGTGGGTCTAGAGATGTTTCATGTGCGCGCGGGCAGCTTGCACAAGCAGGACACAAGCAGGACACAAGCAGGACACAAGGTGCATAATTATGTAAAATGCACTAAATTTGGTCTTACATAGTACATAGTACCTAGTGTTTGATTGGCGCATGTGCACTGTGTATACTATGGGTCCCGGCAATACCTCCGACCTCCGACCAGGAACCTGCATACCTGCCCGTTACATAGTTATTGGGTACAGTGTGCAGTGTGCATCTTAGTAATATCTGTGCTGTATTGGGTCAAGGATAGCGTAAGTAGGTATCTACTTAGTAGCGATGTCGGACCATTAGCTAGCCAAGTTATGAACTAGATACGGTATCTAACTATGGAACCTACGGAGCAATCCTCAAGCTACCTATCTAGTAGGTAGCATCACCACCAGCACTAAAGACAGCATCAACAACAAAAACACCACACCATAATGGCCGATCCCTTCGAGGTCCGCATGCGTTTCAGCTTGCAGCTTGAACACCTGAATGCCAGTACCACCTCTGCTCAGAAAGCAGCTCAATATGCGCTCAAGTACAGGGACATGGACGAGGACTTGCACTCTTGCATCTTGGAACAGCTTGAGAAAGTAAATCCTACATCATCATCATCATCATTCATCATCACCGTCAGAAGTTGCGCACAATTGGCTGACTATTCTTGCCTCGGCTATCGGACAGACCAATATGAATACACGGGCGAACATTATGTACTTCATTGAGCACCTACTAGAGATGGCCTCAAAGGAGCGCCATAATGACTATGTGCGCATGATGCAGCGCGACATCATCAGAGTCGTTGACGCCGTCTGTCCGGAAAATGGTTCCGGCGCGGCAAACGTGAAAGTGGTCCGCAAGGTACCGTTGCCCTACCGAATGCGTCCACACATGCTCCAATCACTGCGGACGATAAGCTGACCCCTTCTCGTCACCCTACACAGGTCCTCCAAAGCCTCCAAGCCAAGCTCATTCTGTTCGAACAAACGGTGACTGAGATCGAAGCCTGCCTTAATGAACGCGATACCTCCGCCAACCACTTCATTGTCTCTTCCCCCCTGGAAGGCAACGAAAAGCCCGGCGCCCTCGGCTCTAATGCCGACGCAGACGTCGGTGGGCCCCAGACTTCACAACGCAACGGCGCCAGTATAAAGCCCACAAGACAACAGATAGAACAGCGCATTGAGGAGGATCGTGAGCGACACAAGCGCACGCGTGAGAGTATGTGGGTTGTACCCCCTAACCCCGTAGACCAAGCGCGCAAGTTCTTCACCGAAACCAACGACATGGGCGAGGACGACCACATCCTAGGGAAGGAAGAATTAGCCGAGTACCGCGTGAGGCTGAATGGTGTACTGTGTAGACACAAGAGCGACAAGCAGGAGAGTGTTAACAGGCCCAAAGCGACGAACGGCGTAACTGCTGGGCATAACTAGTAAACATTACAGGGGCCGCCGCTATCTGGTGAGAATATTGTACGGTCAAAATTCCCGAACGGATATCGAAAACATCCCTTTCCATTCGGTAATGGTATTCAGCATGGCAAGGCGTTAATAGGCATGGCGTATTTCATATCTATCTGCCTTGAGTGGTTGAGGCGGCGAGGCGGCGAGGCCCGTTCGGAAGTGGAAAGGGATGCATGATAATGGCGTATTGGTTTGCCCTTATATATTCTAGGATTGGATTCTCTGACTTGCTGGCATGTTTGCCCGTTCAATGATACCACAATACATTATGCTTTCTTACACCTCAGTTGGTCCAGCCGACTCCCTCAACTCGGCTAGGTATAATTATTCGAAGCCGGCTTAATACATACCTCATGTAAATGAAACAGTCGTTGAAAGAGCTGTCTGATAAAACAACCGCAAGGTTCCGTGGACATCGGCGTCCAAATCAACAAAGTGAAGAGCCATGGAGTCGAATGAACGCTCATTTGGAAATTCACCAATACTACACACCATTCATAGTGATGGCAACGATGGGATTCTACATCTCGGGCACAAAATACCTAGGTAAATACCAGATGAACTACATCCTCTAGGAGAGAGAGACCTAAGCTTGGGATAGGAAATACTGTTGAAGCTTTGTGCCTATGTTATATGATGGGGGTCATCGACCGGCCGTACGGGTAGCATCACGTACATCTATGTATTTGACCCGGTAGGGGTTCGAACATCGGCTCAGCCGCAAACGGGGGAATGCTCACTTATCGGGAGGAGTCAATACAACCTCGGCCGAAATGCGGTGATCCCGACCTCTTGCGTGCCGCAGGGGG